CGCCCAGCCTCAACATCATGCACATGATACCTAAGCACATAGGAATATATCTATGCGTTTTTGGGATCACTTACAAGAGTTATCGATACAGACTACGTGTCTTGCAGATGTGCTCTATAAACAAATAGGCTTGCAAATGGAATTCTCGCCCTTTTATATAAACCAGTTCCTAAAACTGGCTATCATTGAGCTTAACCAGGTGCCAGGAGTCACCACTTCGGGCATCAAAACTGGTGAAGAGTTCCGAGAGGCGAAGATACTTGACGTGGATAACAGTCAGAGCGACCTGAGCTTGATCTCACAGCAATTCTAACAGACTGACTCATTTATGTAGGTCGTAGCCGGCTGTATTTGAGGACGGTTTCGAAAAAAGTGTCACGTGCCGCTTTCCTGCCCTTATTGGAGTACCTGGCCACTGCTGGCCACTGCCAGTGGCGGTGTTTAAATCGCTGCATATTCACATTATGGAGTTTGCGCCAAGCGTTTACCTGCTCTGGCTGTTGACGCCTAGCACCAATCGTCATAACTCTCCAAAACCGTTGGGTGCCATGTTAGTATACGAGCACGCGTTAAGAGATCCATACGTCGGCCACTACGTCTGCCAACATCATTTCGTGCACTCTCCTTCCGTGAAATGGGAGCTGTGTGTTGTGCACAAATGGCTTTGTGCGACTGCGAAGCCGGGCAGTCGCGATTTAGACCCAGTATTTGTTCGTGCCGCGCTGCCCTTTTCGATTATATAAATTCAACACCTCTCATTTGACCAAATGTGGGGATAGAATTCTAGTGACTACAATGCTGAATAATCGCTTGGCTAGACGACTTGCGGGTGAATAGTTTGAAAATGTAAATACATAGCTAAATCTCTTCTTTTGAGCTGAGGAACTAAAACAAAGCTGGTGCTCGGTTCGCAGCCGTACTCGTAACGAAAAACGTATTGACATGACAGGAGGAAGAGATATGATGAAATGAAACGAAACGAAATGAAATGTAATACATGAAATGACACAGAATGCTTGAGTGGACTGAGCGAGATGAAAGGAACCAAATAAAATTAAAAGAATCGGCAGAGGGCGGCTGACTCAGCTGTGTCCTATTAATTGTGGTTCCAATAGGCGCTTCCTATTTTGAGGGACGATGTTTCTTGACCCGGTTCGGTACGGTACGATACGGTATATGTATATATATATATATATATATATATATATTATATATATATATATATATAAATATTATACAAATATATCCCTGAACTACGTGTCTGGCCTGTTTTTGGTTTATCTATGGTTATCTATGGTATGGTTTATCTATCTATCTATTTGGCTATGTTTTTGGTTGGTTACATGTTATTGGTTTTTGGTTTACCACAATCATTTTTCATCTTACGTTCGTAATTTCCAAACATTCCGGCATATTCAAACTAACATGAATTGGTGTCATCGTTGAGCAGCGTGCATCTCCTAAGGTGTGGCAAGGTTATCCTTGTTTGCGAGGTTACCCCGAATCCCCCTGACGAGCGACAGTAACAGACAGGGGGGATCCAGCCGACAGTAACAGACAGGGGTGGATCCAGGATTTCGTCAAGCAAGGGCCACGCTTCGCTGTTGTGCCCCTGGAACGTGGTACCCCTCACGAAAACCCTGGTTTCGGCCATTTCGTTTGGGATTATTATCTTTTAATCGGCCACCTGACTTGCGCCGGAATGGTTCGCCGTGTTTATTCCACGTTGTTTCAAGACGCCGAATTTTCGTCTTTTTCCGTTTTATGTTCAGCTTTGACAGAAAGATATGCCAAGACTAGCAAAGATACAATCTAACATGCATTAAGAAGAAATGAAATAAACGAGTACAACACCGTCCAAGCGCGGGTGCTATGCAACCAACAATAGTGCATTTTAACGATACTGGTTTCTCGGGGTCTTACAAATATATTGAGGGGCCGGTGGACCGATGCCAGCGTAAATTACAGATATAACATGACACCACACACACACACACACAGAAAGAAAGAGAGAGGAGAGAGAGAGAGAGGAGAGAGAGAGAGAGAGAGGAGGAGAGGAGGAGAGAGAGAGAGAGAGAGAGAGAGAGAGGGAGAGGAGAGGGAGAGAGAGAGAGAGAGAGGAGAGAGAGAGAGCGAGAGAGAGAGGAGAGAGAGAGAGAGGAGAGAGAGAGAGAGAGAGAGAGAGGAAGAGGGAGAGAGAGGAGAGAGGAGGAGAGGAGGGAGAGGAGAGAGAGAGAGAGGAGAGAGAGAGAGAGGGAGAGAGAGGAGGAGGACGGAGGAGAGAGAGAGAGAGGAGAGAGAGAGAGAGAGAGAGGAGGAGAGAGAGATGAGAGAGGAGAGGAGAGGAGAGAGAGAGAGAGAGAGAGAGAGAGAGAAGAGAGAGAGAGAGAGAGAGAGAGAGAGAGAGAGAGAGAGAGAGAGAGAGGAGAGAGAGAGGAGAGAGAGGAGGAGAGAGAGAGAGAGGAGAGATATATATATAATATATATATATATATATATATATATATATATATATATATATATTATGACATGACATATATGATATGATATATATAGGTTAACCTGGGGAAGCTCATCATCTCTCTAGAATCTATCGGCGAAAGCTTATATAAAATAGTTTTCATCCATCCGCGCTTGCAGTCTAGAAGAAATAACACCGGCGTCCGGGGGTGCAGTCTCCGCGGCCCACGACGCGTCAGCCTCGCAGCTAACACCAAGGAAAGTCTACGGGCGGGAAAGAACGACCACGTGTCGCATAGTGGCACTTTCGAACGCTTTATAAAACTAATTGGTTTGCGCGTAGAAGGTATCTCGCGCCATAGGTTTCACTTGTGCGATATTCACATTGACGCTCGGGACGGATTAGCGCGCACAGCAATGCAAACTCATGGCGCAAGGGAATAATGGTTCATGTTGTTGTAGCCGCTAGTCCCGTCTAAAGAATCAACTTCGACATTGCACAGGTTAAGTTTTCTGGCCAGGAGCTGAAGGGCATTCCGCCCCAGCCCAGCGGGTGCCGTTCTGGCGATACGGGGACAGAGCCCTCCAGATCGATACGGAGGTCCTCTGTTGGACGTCTGGCACTGGATCGATGCAGGGGCTCTCACTGTTTCAAAAGGATTTCTTCCAGTCGCAGGAGAGTCAAATAATTGGCACAGAGACACCAATTCAGTTAATGGTCGGCTTGAAACGGTGCTTGGGACCCCTCGTTTGGCGCTGGGGCCTCTGACTGACACAGGGCCTTTCCACTGCTTTACTGTAAATGTGAGCCCTTGCGTCGCCACTCCTCTTATTTCCTCTTATTGCCAGGAAGGCCCAAACAACGCAAGAGGCCGTTTGACATCCGCGGTTTCATCCCTGCCCCCTAATCAGTAAATACGCCCCTTGCCAACCTAGGGCTCATTGCCGACACGGCATCCCCAGTTTGGCGCTGTCGGCCTCTGACCAGCACAAGGGCCCTTCACTATTTCAGGGGCCCTGACTTATGCAAGAGACCTTCCGACTAACATGTTCAGGTTTAGCCCTGCCTCTGCATGTGAACAGGACCCTGTAGGGCGCAAACTGGAATGTAACCGACCATTTAGACCGTTCGGTACTAGCAGTGCTAACCAGCTGTCTGGCAGGCAGCTGATTAACAACACTAGTACCCGTGGTAGAGGCCGCCACTGTCTTATGGGGCCCCGATCGGTGTTGCCCTTCACGCTCTCCAATCCGGCCCTTGAACGTCGGACCCGGGTGGGTCTATTTGTGGTTGCTTGGAATTCGTCGCCTCTTTAGAACGTTTTTGGATCCCTCTGAGGTGCCCCTCTGGAATGGATGCCTCTTGAAGATAAAGGTCATGACGCCCCGAGAGAGAGATTTCTGATGCCCCTCCACCAAATAGGCCGATCCAGGATTTAATCAGGGTTGAAGGCAAAGGAATTGTGGTGACCTCTAGTTTTGGTGTCCCTTAAAAATGAGAGTTTTGGGGATCTCTCTCTCTCTCTATGGCCCGCCTAAATTAAGAGGCCCCAGGAAGCCAGTGCTATGGTGTCTGCAATGTCCGGTGGAGTTTGTTTTTGCTTGGTTTGCTTTGTGCTCTGGCTTGAAGTCTTTCCACAGCAGACGCAAACGTTTTGAAGTCAAATGACATTCTGTCCAATCTTACTCGACGGCAGACTATCATTCTTCCGATGTTATTTTACTCCCAGCTGAACAATGCAAAAAAACCTGGATGCAACAGAGGTTGTTTTGTCCTCGCTAAAAATGCCAACAGGATCTGTCCATCACGGGCTTCTGTTGCCTCACCCCTGAAGAGAGCGTCGCGACGTGGCCGTCTTGCATCTGCACGCATCGTGAACATCTAGCGGCTAGCGATTTTTGCAGATTTCTTACGATGCGGCGTGGTACGAATAAATCGCAAATTTTAGTCCACACTTCATAAAATCTTGAGATTACGCGTTTTATTGCCCTCAAGCACCCGCTTCGTTCTGTGATCGAGTGTCCTCATCATACAGGCTATGGAATACCATCATTTTTGTTTGGTGATGCCTGCCGTTTGTGAGTGGTGGGGACCTCTAAGCCTTGATAAATGGGAGGAAAGCTCAAACTCCCTGCGAGTTGGGCCATAGGTTATCTACTCATATATCAGCATAAGTTACCTATCATATATCAACTCAGCCTTAGCTGAGTTGGGCTATTAGGTTATCAGTTCCGAATGACCATCTTTATTTTTCATTGCCATATCTAGAGGCTGAATAACAGCGCACCTTTAACAACATTCGTCGTGCGCTGATGCCCAGCTCTCATTGGTATCTATGGCCGTTTGCCGCGCGCCCGGAAGTGCTTCGGTACGAGCTCAGCTCGGCGTGTCATTGGCCCTCCCGACGGGGCCCGAGAGCTCCGGCCCCTGCAGCGGCAGCAGGCGGCGGACACGCGTCGCCATTGGTCGTCTTGCCTGATTGCGGCTGCGGATGATGTGAGAGGGCGCCGGGGAGGAGTCGAACGTGCAGGCCGGGCACGCCTCACTCGTACGCCGGCAGCGGCCAGGACGCCCCGACCATGGCCTGCCAGCCACAGACTGGCGGCAGCGCCCAGTGGTGAGTGCTCGGCCTGACTATTCGGGCTGTCGGTGTATTCGCAGGCGTTCTGGTGCATGACGCTGAATGATTTTGTTGAGAAATAGGGAGACTCGTTCGAGCGCTAGTGAATGTACTGCTATCCTTTGCCCGCTAAGGGGCCATCTATATGTTACCCGCACCAGGCTGAGTGGAGATCTGGCATTTTGTGTTTGGCATTTGGACCCTACCCACGTTTTTTGCGAATAACCAAAAACAAATGAAAGGGCAGGCGGCGCTGAAATTTGAAGCATCTGTTCTTTGGTCTTTTAACATCTTTCAAAATTTGGACTTAAACATACGAGGTCCTTGGCCCAGCCTTTAGGTTTAAGATGAGTACAGCTATCCTCTGTCCTACTTAGAAACGATGTTTTGAATTATACCGCTATCATGCGTATTTCGGGTGGTAGATTGCCAAACTGCTTTGGCAGAGGAGACGAGCGACGTTCTTCAAGGCGATGTTCAAATAGACGAAAGGCGAACAGAACATTACGCCTTTCATGCAATCATAATACTCCTTGCTATTGCTGGAGCGGCGTTGACTGACATGCATTGTAAGAAGCTCTCGACAGGTTTTGAGCACGATTTGTCAGCCTGATGAGGCCTGGTACACTGGAATGGAAACTGCTTTTTTAGCCAATATGTCAAGCATTGGTCACAGTCACTAAAGGCCTCTCGGTTTCTACCGCCCATTAGATTGCCCGACTATGTTAACGGAACCGTTTCTACCGCCTCTGAACCAAAAGGCTGCGTACAAAAAGCTGCAGTGTCTCAAGGGGTTCTCAACTCAGTGCTCAGGGTTTCTCAACTACACGGCTGAGCATACAGTCCTGTTGCCACTCCGCTTACTGCTCCTGTGCAGGCTGCTGTCTTTTGTGTGGCAGATTGTGCACGCTGCCGTCAACAGCGATACACAGTCAGGAACGGATTTTAAACTGACGCCAATGCTTGCATCACAGCCGAATAACATGTTTCAGCTGTGGCTCAGGAGCCCTTTTAACGCAATCATTGTTAGACGGGGACCTGAAGTGGTACCAAACGTGAAAAGCTCAAACAACAGGATAGACGGGAGTGACATCGATAGTTTGTCGAAATTACTGTCAAAATATTTTAGAAATTAGTCCACACACAATTGTGTTGTATTACCATGCACATCATCGTAATTTCGCATTTCCGGTCCATTAGAATTTGGTCCTATGGGACCAAACCCACAAACGTTGACTAAATGACACATGAGAACGAAACAAAAACGCTTTGAAAGTAATATCTACCGGTTATTTGGTAAAACCTGATGAGAAACGATTCATTTCGCGTCTTGTTTAAGACATCGTTCCCGCATTTTAGAGTAAGATGTCTGCGGCATACCGCGGGGCTAAATAAGATACCAGTATTAATCAACGGTGGCATAAAAAGAGCTAATGCGCCACCAGTCGTGGCCACTCTCATTGCCCGCTGTGACGTCATATACCAGTCTTTGACTATCGTGGAGCGTATTCAGGATAAAGTGCTTCTTCGAGTTATAACGTCGGTACTCGTAGGCCCTTTCATGGTAGTGTATAATTCGACTGGCACCTAAATTGGTCCCGCTGTATTCCAGACACCTAATACTGAAATGCACGGGAATCAAAACAAACAAGAAGCAAAACTCACCACCGCCTGTGAAAATAGTCTGTGAACTTTTCCCTGAGAACATTTTCTTCGTCACCATACCTAAAGCCGTCATTTTGAGTTTGTAGATTTGTCATCACTGGACCAGTTCATGAAGTGCCACAAATGCGAAATAACGAGCAAGTACGTTGTGAGAAAATGGAAAGGGATCTGCGCCATCCGGAATGAAAAATTACGGTTATTTTGGCGCCGCTGCTCCGAATAAAAACCTTTGTTTTGCTCCTGCTTATCCAATTATCTTTAGCATCTCGAATTTGGCACCAAACCAGGTCCCTATCCAAACAACGCAAGCATAAAAAGTACTTGTGTGACCTAGCTTAACTAGGAGTACACACAAACGTGACCGAGTTTGACTGATTTTCTGCCACAGAAATTACTTTCTCGCATGTATTCGCAAGCAGGGACATGCACAGATCACGTTGATAGCCGTACGTGTCTGGCCTGCACCGTGAGACACGGCCACATTTACATCTCCTTCCATCCAGTTAAAGATGAAGACCCCTTGTCTAAAGTCGGGGTGAGCCCTCATTAGTGCACAGCAGCAGGGAGGTACAGCATCTGATTGACAACATTACACATGTATATAAGGCTAGCACTATTCGCTCATGGCTACGCCATTTCCAGTTTGTGTGAATTCATCCGTTTGATCTGAAATACATGCATACCGCGCATGTCATTAGGTAACTCAATATGTGTTATCCTAAATCGAATTGCGTACTAAGCCATGCGTGTCACATACCGTGTATGATTAGACGCCAAATAATATGACCTCGCATGTCACTGAGGGAGCGCCGGCTAAGTGAGGCGTTCATAGCTGGCATGCTTTCGGACGGCATGTGGGTAGAGGGTGGCGTAGAACTCGCGTGTATTGCCAAGGGTAGGTAAAAATCCTTAAAAAATCGAACCTTATAGAAAATGCGAGTTTTGTGCATACTGGTACTGCATTACGCATATATGCAGTGGTCCGATCACTTCTAAAAAAAGAGGATGGCAAGCCAGAGCACTTAAGCGTGTTGCGCAGGACAAGTCGCAATAGTCCTCTTTTTCACTTTTGTACACGTTTCTTGGTTCTAGTTCTATGATATTTAAGCCGGGAATTGTCCAGGATCCAAAGCATGTCACTTTCCTTTTTTGACAACTGTTCTTTTATTATTTCTTTCGTGGTTTCAAAGGTATTTATTACCACTTCCCCAGCAATCAGTCGCGAAGCGTAGGACTAGGGACTTAGGCGACCATGGTGCACATACAGAGACATTAAAAGTGATAAGCGTTTGCGCACCAAATGTGTACATGTGTGCACATACCGTAAATGTACATGTGTGCACATACCGTAAATGTACATCTGTATGCGTGGTGATAGCTACGCATCAATCAGTTATATATTGGCGTCGCGCGACTTGAGATGTGTCGCCATGGGCGTCTTTAAAAGGCGAGTTTGAAGCATAACCTGAGTGGTGATTACACAGTTAATACTACGGATTGATTGATTGAAGATTGAATGGAAGATTGGAAGATTGAAGATTGAATATTGTATCACTAGGGAACGTTGTGCTTATGTTTTTACACATAGAGTAAGTTGCTTCGCAAGAAAGCTGAATGCCTTACGATGCGTGGACTGAAGGCGTTCATCTGTGCTCTTTCATTTTTTGCCGTGATTGCCACGGATTTAGCCCTTTTGAACAGTGTTTGCTTTGAAACCACTGCCAGCTGGGTTTCGGCTGCTCAGGTGGGAATTATGGATTTACATAGGTAATAGGAATGCCCATTTGTTGTCTAGATGCCAGAAGTCATGGCAATCATATCAGTCCATGATTAACAGTAATCCTGTCAATAACGTACTGCCGATACATTGTATCAGCGATACAGCATATCCTATGCAAAGCTAACACAACATACACCACCCGACATCTTGGAAGAAAGTTTGCACCTCGCTAAGATTCTTAGCTGGAACATGCCGAATGCTTTGTAGTATGTACATGTGTACTTCCCTGTGACTTCATACAGCATTCAGATTTTACTAGTCATACCGTAAGTCCTTAAACACACATTTACACCGATCACCATAGTTTTCAACGATGTGCAAACAGATTTTTCGCGCTCACTCCAAGCCGCGTACACATATGCGGCCGGAAGCACACTGAAAGATAAAGGGAGCTGCTATGCGTCAGCTAAGTGGCACAAGACTGCAGTCCGTCGCATAGGTTTGGAATACATCGCCCTGATGCTAGTTGGACATGGTTCAACTCACCCCACTTTCTCCTAAAAGAAGGTAATTTTTCCCATGATCTGATCGCGGTGTTCTCGTGATTGTGTGAAAAATGCAAAATTCCAATCCACTTAATGCAATCAAATCATTTTTTCACCAGCTGAAATTATCTCCATTTGTGACACAATCGTTAGCAAATTACGATGAAATATGTATCAAGGGGGATTATTACCTTTCATCATCATGTTTCTCACAAAGCGCAAAAATAGCTGAGAGCAACCTTGCCATTGCTCATTCAACAAACATATGTAAAGTGCGCTTGCCGAAATCCTCCTGATCGCGTGTGCACGTCGAACAATCAAGGTCGAGGTCGAGGGCGTATAGCCTTAATACACGTCATCAATATCGCTCCCTCTCCCCTCTCTCCCTCCCTCTCTCTCTCTCCTCTCTCTCTCCTCTCTCTCCTCTCTCTCCCTCTCTCTCTTCTCTCTCTCTCTCTCCTCTCTCTCTCTCCTCTCTCTCTCTCCTCTCTCTCTCTCTCTCTCTCTCTTTCCTCACTCCCACCAGAGGAGGGATCCTCTCTCGCCCTCCGGACACATTGGCATGAGCGCTATCGGTGTGATTTCAAAGTCAACTCACCTGTGCTCCCGCCGCAGCCGGCTCTCCCCGACACTTTTCCACACGTGCCGTCAGCCCCGGCCTGGCGCCTGACTGGGCGTCAGAGACGAAGCAGCGACCCATTGACCTCCGCTTCCGCGGCCTCCGCTCCTCAGTCAACAAGAGGCAGATCCTCGCCGACATCTCGGGCCACGCGCGGCCGGGCGAGGTGCTGGCTGTTATGGGGCCGAGCGGTGAGTGGCTGAGCCGGGCGACGAGAACGGCAGACCTCAGGCATGGCCTGACGCGACTGCCGGACTAGCTGACAGTCACGCCATCACGTCGTGTCGCGGATCCGTGCTGTCAGCAGTGGTGTCTTACATAAGAGACTGACAGTGACAAGCAGCTGACCTCCACGTCTTTTTGGATGCATGAGCACAGGTCTTTATGCTCGCTGTTTGCGCATACAGCTCCTGCATTATCACAGCTTGTGCAGCGTAGGGTTTGCAATATTACAGTCAGCATGCTGCCAAGGACTGTCTGTGTACACTCGCTTCCATCCTGCCCAGGTTCGGGGAAGACAACGTTGCTGAACGTGCTGTCTGGCCGGCTGAAACCGGACTCGGGAGAGATCCTGCTGAACGGGGAGCCGCTGACGAAGCGACTGAAGCGCAGTGTCTGCTACGTGGCCCTCCAAGAAGACATATTTTTCGCGAACCTCACCCTAAGGCAAAACACCCTGACGGTAAGAAAGCCGCCTGCGACTCCGACCACTGGCACACTAAAGGGGAGTTGACTTAATCAGCACAGCGTGGGATGCTGTTTTGCTTCTGCACTCCTAAAACACTATGCTGGATCAACCAGATGCACCCCATTCAGTTAAATACAGGTTTGCACAACGCAAGGAGAAGCAATCTGGAGGGTATGTATACATGCTAAATGTCTGACTTTGCTCATGCAATTTCTACCACCATTGCTTCCGTCAGGGCATTGCAGCCAGGCATCACAGCTGATTTTCTCTTACCTCGCCGCCGAATGCCACGGGCTGGCACGAGGCGATGCCACAGAGCGAGGCGATTCGCGTTATTATCCTCGGGCAACACAGCCCATTATCTCATTGGCAATACGGCCCATCATCCGCCGTACGTCCGGCGAGCTTGCGCGGCCTCGCGATCCCCTGCGCTGTGGGTTTATGTCCTGCCGGTCGGAGAGGCAGCGGGGTCGGCACTGACAAACCGTCACATCGTGGGCCGCTTCGGATTGGATTGGGGTTTATCAGAGCGCTGACTCACATCAGCCGCGTACGTGCTATCACGGTAGTTAACCGAAGGTAACCAGAGGAAGGCAAACAAAGGTGAAGGAAGACAAAGGGCAAGAAAACATGCAGCAAGCATCTGCCGCCATTTACATATTCTCGTTTTATCCTGCATCCTCGCGACTACCCGTTTATCTGAAGCAAGCTGCGTGTGCCAGCCATGAGTGGGCTTAAGTACCCTCGGGCGGGGCCCCGTCCGAGCGCCAATCGGGTCTGGTCGGAAGGGCTCTACCGAGTCAAACCAAACCAAAACAACACAGCACGCAACGAAGCGTAGTACAAGACGAAACGCTCGCGCCGCACACCGATGTGACGCAGCTGCGGCAATCCTGGCAACAAGCCGTGTAGTGAGATCCAAAGCACGCTTGAGCCCAGAAGGCTATGCGCCCTAATCCAAAACAAGACAAGACGAGATCCAAGGCAAACGGTCGCGAAAGCCTGTCATGACTTCGCGCACCACCGCTGTCGCTACCGGTCAGGCGACACAGCGGCGTGTGATCTTTCAGACATCTCTAACTTATGGTATAAGAGGCGCTGCATATAATTTGACTTAACATGCGCCCGGGTGGCCGGCTGGATACCCTTCGCTCGGGTGGGGGTCAATTTGACCCGCTGAGATCTTAGGAAATAGGGGGCTAGAGAACAAAATTGATAGCGTGTGTTGCTTGACTGCATGTGAAATCACTTAAGGTAAAAGTTTTAGGTCCCTAGGTCATGACGTTCGGGTCGAATAAGGTCAACAAGGGTCAAATCAGTGGTTGGTCTTCAAAGTCCCCAGAACTTAGATGATTGTTCTTAACAAAAGTCCATACGCTCATTTAAGGCCGGTAACCTTGTTTGACCATTTGAAGGTCATCGTGACCAAAATTTTACAAGACCGCTTTGGAATGCGCATTTGAATAAGCGACAAAGATTACGCTAGGCGGTATATTTCTTTAAAAAAACACGTTGACCTGAGTAATCTTGGGCCAGTGACCTATTCTGAACTTAAACAGGTTTATGCAAGATGTAGAATGCGGTTTCTGTTATCAATAAATTTGAAATGAGCACTAGAAACTACTCACACAGCAAGCCCTAGAGTAATAAAACAGGTTGGTTCTGACCTTGGTCTGACGTTCATACCTGACCATAGGTCAATTTCATCTGCTCATTTAATTGTTGTGTTGCCTAAGAGGGTGTCTCAGAGATGTATAC